CACACACACACACACACACACACACACACACACACACACACACACACACACACACACACCCCTCCTCAGCACTAGGACCAACCATGGAGGAGCCAAGCCTGGCCAAGGTTCTCAAAGCAGCTGGGTCCCACTCCAAACAAATGTGGGCACGCCACAGCCCGTCCCGAGGATCCCCTTCTAGGCCCAGGCTGACTGGCCCTGCCTAGCATTTAGGGACCAACATCTTCATTGCGTCCACACTGGGGCAGCTGTCTCCAGGGCTGCCCCTCAGCTACTGTTTACAAATGTAGGACCCTGCGCTCTATGTAGAAACACAGTTCTAGCATGCAGCTGTGGCCAGGGAGCCTCTCTGATCCTGGGCATAGTCCTGGCACGTGGGCAGGAAGGGATGGTGGAGTCTGAGCAGGCACGCAGGTGGCAGCCAAGGCCCCAAGGGCAGCCCCTCCAAAGCCACAGCCAAGCGGCAGCCACCGTGGATGGTCTGCACCAGAGTTCTTTGTGACAGGCCACCAGGCGCCAGCCAGCCCCCGTGGTCAAAATGCCTGCACTCCAGCAGGGCCACGGCTCCCAGGGGAGGGCAGGCAGAGTGTGGACGTACTCTAGGCCAGAAGCCGCCATGTCTGCAGGTGGCCAGGCAGGCAGGCTGGAGGAAGGCAGAGATTCTGATGAGACGTGGGTGGGTTTTGGCCACCTATCTCAGACCCTTGCTTAGAGAAGCAGTCCTAAGGCCAAGGTCCACATTGTCTCAAATGCAGAGTACCAGCCTTGAGTGAAAAAGCTAAGGAGTGTGCCTAGGCCCTGAGTTCAAGCCACAGTAAAAGGCAGAGGATACAGAATGGGTGATGCCACTCTGAGCTGGGCCTTCTACTCCTGGACAGCAAGGTCAATCCTAAGAATATGACTGCCCTGGGCTCTCAGGGAACATCACAAGGGCACCAAGGAGAACAGCAGTGGCTGACACATCCACTGGACAGTGCTCAAGCCCAGATCTTAGGCTGTGGGATGCAATGGGCAGCAGCCGCCTGCTTTGTGCTGCCCTCATATTCCCTCTGTTCAGGAAGCCGATCAACTAGGACAAGAGCCCAGGTCCTTTCAGGGTGAGAAAGAGTATTGGCATGGCCCTGCACGCTGGGCAAGAGTCCACTCAGAGCAGCTGGGGTGCAGCGTGGAGTCAGTGAGCGCAGCATGTGCACTGGGGCTTGGTCCACTCAGAGCAGCTGGGGTGCAGCGTGGAGTCAGTGAGCGCAGCATGTGCACTGGGGCTTGGTCCATTCAGAGCAGCTGGGGTGCAGCGTGGAGTCAGTGAGCGCAACATGTGCACTGGGGCATGGGCTGGGTGAGCAAGCAGCACCCGGGGACTGGACTTCCTCCATCTCCAACAAGAACAGAGGCAGCCGGGCGCGGTGGCTCACACCTAGAATCCTAGCTACTCAGGAGGCTGAGATTTGAGGGTTTAGGTTCAAAGCCAGCCCATAAGACTTATTTCCAATTAACCACCAACAAGCCAAAAATAGAGCCGTGGCTCAAGTGGTGAAGTGCCAGCCTCGAGAGAACACGCTAAGGGACAGCGCTGAGGCCTGAGTTCAAGCCCCAGTCCCAGCAGCACACAGGACAGGCTCTACAACTGGATGGCTCGAGAGTGCCATTTGGCCACGGGCGGCAGCTGAGACATGAGGGGACACAGCAGGTAAGCTTCCCAGAGCCACTTGGGCAGGAGCCACGGCCGGCAGCTCAGCCAAGGAAGACAGGGGGCCAACAGAGTCTGAGCCACGCTGGGCCACGTGTACGCACAGTGCCCTGCCCAGTGCCCATTCCCATCTACCGTCCCACTATATCTACAGTTCAGTGCTCCGTCCCATCCTAAGGCCTCGGAGATGTTTTTGGAAGGAAGACAGAGGTCAAGGGATGAGGCATGGGGAGAAAAGCACAGTGGAGCTGAGGGGCCGCCCAGTCGTGCTGGGACACAGTGGGGTCTGAGGAAAGGCAAGGGGTGGTGCTCTATTCCTCTGCCAGGATGATGCCAAAACTGTGCAGGCTTTCCAGAGAACCAGTGGGTTTGTTATGTGTGTGTGTGCGGGGGGGGGGGTGGTATTTCCATCTAACTGATAATGGGGAGGCTCCTGGTGACTGCGAGCCAAAGCCGGGCAGAAGCTTGGCCTCAGGTGGCTGGCTCCCAAGCCCCAAGTGGTGCCGCCTGAGGACCTGCGTTTGGAGAGCCAGCTGCTGCCATCCGGAGGAGGACTCCGGAGGGCCCTGGGGAAGTGTCTCGGGTCTTGCTTAGGCGAGCGAGCTGGGAAGCACAAGCAGCCACTCTGAGATCTGTGTGTGTTCTGGCATGTCAGGCTTCCCAAACCCTCATAAAAGCCCACTGAGTAGGGGCAGATAAGGAAACTGAGGCACAGGTTGCCTGAGGGGACAGCTAGCATGAGAGAGGAGCTCCGTGGGCTGCTTTGACCCCTGTCACCCTGGGGTCCTAGCCTGCTCCCAGGCTGTGCCTCCAGCAAGGGTTTTGCAGAGTGGAAGAAAGGTTCTGCAGAAGCTAGGAGGTGAGGCGGGCCAGAGAGGACCGGGATGGGCCGAGGACAGAGGCAGGTGGCTCCAGGCCCGCTGAACACAGCCATACTGAATCCCCAGCGGCCTCAGCCAGGACAAAGGAAGCCCGCGGAAGCCCGCAGGACCCAGGGCCAGGCAGACACCGCTGCAGGCCACATCTAGCCCAAGTGTGGACAAGAGTGAGTCACTTCACCCCAGGGCCAGCTGGAGAGGGAGTCAGTGACCGACCCCTTTAGGGGAGCAGGAAGAGGACACAGGGTGGACCGCTCCAGGCCAGCTGTAGAGGGTCTGGAGGGCACACAAGGTTCTGCTCAAATCACAAGTGACCCCGCTGAATTTCTTAGCTTTCCTAGTGATTTTCCAGGACACAATGACAAATGGAGGAAAGATCTAAAACTCCTCAGAGGTGACCTCAACCCTGGCTCTGTCAGCTTTGGGGGCTCTTGTTCCTCCTTGCTCACCTCCCCCAGCCTAGCCACCATGACCACGGCTTTGGCAGGAGGGGATGTGAAGTGTGTTCCCTTGAGGTTCTGCTATTAAGCGAATCACTCTGCAAGGGATGTAGGCAGACCTCCTGAGGTACTTCAGAGCTAGGCAGCCCTCGCCCTGAAGGCCTGGCAGGAGACAGCTAGCCAGAGCAAGAGGCCAAGACTGGAGGGCAACGCTGGGACAGGTGAGGACACCAGCCGCGCCTACAGCCCGGCCTGCGCGTCCTCTCACAGCCTCTCGACGCTATCAGCCTGGGCCTGCCCGCTGGCAAGTGGGCCACATATGGCCAGAGGTCAGAACAGAAGGCCAGAGAGAGGCGGGAACACTGTCCTTCGAGACCTGACACCTGCATCTTTGGTAGGGAAAGGAGAACCCAGGTCCCAGCCATGCTGGTCTCAGACATGGAGTGTGATGGAGTGTGAGGCAGTAAAGCCCTGACCCCAACCCCCCCTGCCGACCTGGGACGGCCAGGCCACGCCATGCACCCCCTGTGCCTCAGCACAGCTCTGCAGCTTGAGCTCTTGTGCTGTTGGCTCAGAGGTGCATCGCCCACGTCCACAGACCCTGTCTGAGATGACTGCTGCTGGCTCTTGATGGTACCACGTCTTCACAAACCCAACAGAGGACAGACAGGGCGGTGCGTGAAGACATCCTCGCAGCCTCCAGAATCCTTGGAGCCTGACGATGCCGGGCATGGCAGGAGCCCAGCTGTGACAAGCCAGGCGACGCAGTGTCGACAGGTCCAAACTACAACAGCAAAGGGAAGGCAGCTGTGCTCGTAGGAGACCCGTGGGATGCTCACCAGCACATTCATGGTACTCCACAAACAGGTCTTCACTTTCTTTTCTTTTTCTTTTCTTTTTTTTGTCAGTCGTGGAGCTTGAACTCTGGGCCTGGGTGCTGTCCCTGTGCTCTTTAGCTCAAGGCGAGAGCTCTACCACTGGAGCCACAGCGCCACTTCCGGTTTTCTGGTGGTTAATTGGAGATAAGAGTCTCACGGACTTTCCTGCCAGGTCTGGCTTTGAACCGCGATCCTCAGATCTCAGCCTCCTGAGTAGCTAGGATGACAGGCGTGAGCCACCGGCACCCAGCTTCATTTTCTTTTAATTGTCCATCTTCCCTACCATGAGCACAAATTACATCTCAGAGAAATGAGATTGCTTTCTGTTTGGGACAGCACTGAGATCTGAACTCAGAGCTTCACTGTTGGTGGCAATCGCCACACCTCTGGAAATGTTTGCTTTCACTACTTTTCAGTGAGGGTTTCACAGTTCTGCCCGGGCCGGCCTGGGTATAACTCTCCTGTGACACACAGCTTTTCAGTGGTGGACATGGGAGTCAGTTTCACACGCATACTGCCTCGGCTGGACAGTCCTCCCAAGGAGCTAGGCCCACACCCATGAGTCACTATGCTAGCTGACAAGTTTGCTTGTTTTTTAAAAGAACAAGCCAAGAACTTCCAGAGATGGGGGGTGGGGATCACAATTCCAGGATAGCCCATGAAAAAAATGTTTACCAGAAGCCAGGCACCAAATTCTCTTGTTTGTAATCCTACTTATCCAGGAGGAAGAGATTCAGAGGATTGTGGTTAAAAGCCAACCCAGGCAGAAAAAAAAAAAAAAAAAAAAAAAACCCAAGAAGGTAGGTGCCAGTGGCTCAAATAACTAGTTATTTGAGAAGTAGAGATCTGAGGATCCCACACACACAGACACATAGACACATACAGACACAGACACACACACACACACACAGATACAGACACACACACACACACACAGATAGACACATACACACAGACACAGACACACACACACAGACACACACACACACAGACACACACACACAGATAGACACATACACACAGACACACACAGACACACACAGACACACACAGACACACACACACACACACACACACACACTCCAGAGCAAAAAACAGGGCTGGAAACTTTGCTTATGAAATATAGTGCCTGCCTAAATGCCCTGAATTCAAATCCTATTACCACCAAAAAACAAAAAATGAGGATGAGGAAGAAGGGAGAGCTAATCCTGTCTCAGCCTCCTGATAAGCTAGGATCACAGGCGAGCCACCAGCCACCGGTTGAACCCGCCCATTTTGAAGTAACATGGGGTGCAGTGGCTGGGTGACGGCCCACGCAGGCTGTGGTGCTAACGCTCTCACCCGGCCTCGTCTGGTTGGAGCTCCAGCGGCCCCAGAAGGACAATCAGCAGAGGTAGGGCAGGACACACACACACAGACTGGGAGTTTGGGCCACGTGGGGTGCTCCCTCTGTAGAGGACCCTTCACCACAGCTGCAGTGAGCTACTTCTGGTGCACAAACACCTGCCAGCCCCCAGGCTGCAAACACAGACACTTGGTTGGCCATGTGGAAAGCTGCTGAGCCATCTGCCAGCAAGTCTTCGTGGCCTTACCAACTACGGCACAGCCATGACTCGCAAACCCGCAAACCCTCAAAGCTTGAGACTGTCCACAAATACCTGCTGAGCACCCAGGAGCCATGGCTGACCATGGAGACGTCAGAACAAGAGGCCCTAGGCCAAGGAGAGAAGAGGCAACATAGCCATGGAGGCCTAACCATCGGCACTGACTCCAGTCCAGGTCCTCCAAGGGTTCCTGCTGTTCAGATATGGCAGCCACTGCCCTGCCCAGCAGGCTGACACTCACTAAATTTAGCATCACAACCCATTCCTCACTCCCCATGTCTCAGACAAGCTCCTCCCAGGCCTATGAGTAGTAATGGGTTTAGTCAGGGTTAGGTAGTGGGTATGGACTATGGGGGGACAGAGAGACCAGCCTGTGTGCTGAGGAAATCCACGGGGGACGCGGCCCAGGCAGCGCCAGTCCGGCTGGGAGGACCCAGAGCCTTTGATCAGGGCTGAGGCGCCCCTGCCAGCTGCTGGGGAGGCGGCAGGCATGGAAGGGGGCGGTGTCTACGGGCTCAGCCTAGCTGCAAGGTGGCCTCCTGGGCTATGGAGGGACTTCAAAGGACAGGGCTAGGGGGCGTCGGCGGCCCCAGCCTCTCCCTGAGCCGGGTTCTGATCGCCAGTAAAACTACCTTCTAATAATTAATGTCTGACATCAAAGGCAGGAGCCGCCCGGCTCTGTGAACCATCCCAGGCCTCAGCAAGGACCTGCCTGTATTTTATCCTGTCTCTTTCTTCTAAGTCTTTATTTAAATCCAAAAACCACACACAGGCAAAACATTAATGGGAAACTTGGAAACTCTTTTTGATTACCAAAGTATACCTTTGAAGTTCCCCCAAAAAGTTCTGTTTTGTTCACGTCCCCTCCCCCCAAGACTGCATAAGGACACAAAGCAGACGCATGTCGTTGGCTGGCCTTCTGGGTGTGGGGCTGTTGGTGACAGGAGGCACCCGGCAGTGGGGCGGGGGCACTCCGCAATCAATTCGCTGCCGCTCGAAGATCAAAGGCCAGTGGGGGAGGTGCTCAAGGCACAGGCACCCTCCTCAGGGAGAGCTGGCTGGGGCCTGGGACCAGGGGCTGCGCTGGGACCCTGCCTGCGGACGGCCACTGCTGCCTGGCCAGCCGACCGGCCACCTCCTCTTCAGCTGCGGCTCTCCGCACGCCACAGGGCCCTGCCCATGTCCCCACAGAAGGCGCAGTGGGCCACAGCTGGTCCTGTTAAGGCAGGGACAGACACTAAGCCACCCCGAGGCCAGTAAATCCAGAGTCCTCAGGAGGAGTGAGCCAGGAGTCTGGGGGCCTCACCCTGGCCCCAGCATCATAGAGGCACAAGTCAGAAGAATCACGGAACGGGGAGGACAGGTGCCCAAGCTGCATCACACCAGGGTGCGCCACGCTGAGACTTACGGCCTTTCATCCAGTGATGCCTCCCCACTCAGCACCCAGCAAGGCCTCGTGGGGGCAGCTTGAGGTTCAGGATTGGGGGACTGGAGGGGAGCGACCACACCACCCTGCAACCATCTCTCCACGCCTCCAAGCTGTGTGGCCAGGAGTGAGGACTGTATGTAGAAGTGACCAGAGCGAGAGCAATGTGTACGGTGCTCACCGGCACCATGATGTCACCCACCAGGCACTCCCCTCCCTGTCCGAGGCCCCCAGTAGGGACTGGACTGCTGTGCTCTTTGTGTGACCATGTACCAGCTGCCCAGCTCATACCCCACCACAACGCTGTCCTCAACGCTGCTGGATCCCAGAAGATCCCTCTGCCTCTCAGGGACCAAGTGAGGCATTGTGCCACAGCTCCCAAGATCAGAGTGAAGGGCCAAGAAGCCACGGAAAGGGGACCAGCAGGATGTAGGAAGCTGCAGGTCCCCGGAGGCCTCTCCACTCCACAGTGATCAGTGGCCCTCCAACAGTAGGAAGAAAGTATAAACATGAAGACTAACTCTCCTACGAAGGGAGCTCCCACCCCAGGTGCCAGTGACTCAGGCCTGCCATCCTAACCACTCAGGAGGCTGAGATCGAGGGATCGCAGTTCCAAGTAAGCCCAGGCAGGAAAGTCCTTATCTCCAATTAACTGCCACAAAAGCAAGTGACCAAAAGCTAGCCTTGAGCACAAAAAGTTCAAGGACTCCATCGAATATAAAAAGCTTTCTATGAGGGGGGGAGACTGCTGTCAACAAGAGCTCTATGGACACCAAGCAAAACCACCAGACACAGGACCGCAATAAGGGCTCCATGGACACAAAAACTACCAGACAGAGAATGGCTCTCACTCCCCAGTAAGAAACCAGACAGGCCAGGCACCAGTGCCTCTCACCTGTCATCCTAGCTACTCAGAAGCTACTGAGATCTGAGGACTGCAGTTCAAAGCCAGCCCAGGCAGGAAAGGCCGTGAAACTCTAATCTCCAATAAACAACCAGAAAACTGGAAGTGGCACTGTGGATCAATTGGTAGAGAGCTAGCCTTGAGCTGAAGAGCTGAGGGACAGCACCCAGGCCCAGAGTTCAAACCCTGTGACTGACCACCCCTCCAAAAAAAAAGAAAAAGAAAAAAGAAAGAAAGATGAAAGTGAAGCTATGGCTCAAATGGTAGCGTCTAGCCTTGAGTGAAAAAGCCCAGGCCCAGGCCCTGAGTCCACGCCCTAGGACTGTCACAAAAGAAAGAAAGGGGGGGGGGAGAAAGGAAGAAAAAGAAAGAATGAAGGGAGGGAGGGAGGGGAAGGAAGGAACGAAGGGAAAGAGGAGGGAGGGAGAGAGGGAGGGAAGGTAAGGAGGGAGAGAAAGAGGAGGAGAAGGAGGAAGAGGAAGAAGGAGGAGGAGGTGGAGAAATCAGACACCATGAAGTATCTTTTTTTTTTGGTCAGTCGTGGGGCCTGAGCTCAGGGCCTGGCGCTGCCCCTCAGCTCTTCAGCTCAAGGTGAGTGCTCTGCCTCTTTGAGCCGTAGCGCCATCTCCAGTTTTCTGGTGGTTTATTGGAGATAAGAGTCTTATGGACTTTCCTGCCTACCCTGACTTTGAACAGTGATCCTCAAATTTCAGCCTCCTGAGTAGCTAGGATGACAGGTGTGGCGACTCTCTCCCACCTAGGAAAAGAGAAATCTCAGAAAACTAGAACTGGCAACTTCTTAGCTTGAGGGATGCTGTTTAGAGTGTACATCGTGATGAGGGCATCCATGAGAATGCTCTACTCCACAAGTGCAGAAGCTCAGAAAAAAAGAGAAACCTGCATGAGTTACAGATGTCCTCTAGGGGAGCTGATAAAGGCCTGCCTGGCACCCGTGACAGGAGCCATGACCCTGTCCTCCCCTCCAAAGCATCCACAGAGTCTGTAGGAGACGCCCATGGAGGAAAGTTGGAGTCTACACCAAAAGACAGAACAAGCTGGGCAGGGTGATGCACACCTGCAAGGCTGAAGTAGCAGGATCTCCACTTCAAGGCCAGTCCCCACTGGTTATCAAAACTGTCTCCAGAAAACAGAAAGAGCATGGGAGGAAGCATGAGGTCCACGGACAAGGAGAATCAACCACCCAAACACTAGCCAGTACAACGTGAGCCGAGACCGTGTCCAACCGAAGCCTGAGGCTTCAGCAAACATTCTGACATTCATTTGGAAGTCCTTGAAGAGACAAGCCATTTTTGACAAAGGAAGGCCAAGAGGAGATTCTTGGCCATCACCCCAGGACTAGCAACGGCAGCAGCCACGGGGAGGAGGACCAGAGTTCCGCAGCAGGAGCGTAGGCATCTGTGTGGCTGGCTGGCAGAGGTGCCAGCACAGTGGGTCAACATGCAGAGCAAACCAGCAACAGCTTCACGCTGCAGAAGGGTAACCCTGAGAGAGACCACTTTGTGACGAGCACATGCACAGAGCCAAGAGAAGAAAGTGCCAGAAGACACAGCCCTGACCCTGGGTCATGAAGTACTAAGACTCCAAAAGCAAGCACAAACCATTGCTATGGATTCATGAGCCACTGGGAAGGTGGCTCAGTGGTAGAGCGCTTGCCTTGCATGCATGAGGCCCTGGGTTCAATTCCTCAGCACCGCATAAGCAAAAAGAAAAAAGCTGGAAGTGGCACTGTGGCTCAAATGGTAGAGAGCTAGCCTTGAGCTGAAGAGCTGAGGGACAGCGCCCAGGCCCAGAGTTCATGGCCCACGACCGGACCCAAAAAAATAAATAAATAAAACCAAAAAAACTAGCTCAGGCAGAAAAGTCTATGAGACCCTATCTCCAAAAATAGCCAGCAAAAAGCCAAGCTAAGCCAGGCGCTGGTGGCTCATGCCAGTAATCCTAACTGCTCAGCAGGCTGAGATCTGAGGATCGAGGTTCAAAGCCAGCCCGGGCAGGAAAGTCTGTGAGACTCTTATCTCCAATAAACCACTAGAAAACCAGAAGTGCTGCTATAGCTCAAGTGGTAGAGCCCTACCCTTGAGCTGAAGAGCACAGGGCCCAGACCCAGAGTGCAAAAAAAAAAGAAGAAGAAATGACTGGCAGTGGCCCATGCCATACCTCCTGGCTAGGCCATTAAGCACACAAAGATGAGGAGGCGGATACACAGGCAGCACAGCTCAGAGGGGCTACGATGTGATACACAGGCAGCACAGCTCAGAGGGGCTACGATGTGATACACAAGGCCCTTCTGCAGAGGTGACCCTGCAGGAACATTATCAGGACAGCAGAAAAATAAGACTTGGACAAGTGGGTCCAGGTGATAAATCCAACTAGGAGCTCAAAGATGGACCCAGAGCCAGGCACCGGTGGCTTACGCCTGGCCTGTAATCCTAGCTACTCCAGAGGATGAGATCTGTGGTTCAAAGCCAGGCAAGGCAAGAAGGTCTGAGACTCTCATCTCCAATTAGCAAGCAAAGCAAAACAAACAAACAAAAAACAACCACAACACCTGGAAGTAAAGCTGTGGCTCAAGTGGTAGGGCACCAGCCTTAAGTAAAAGAAGCTAAAAAACAGACTGAGAGTTCAAGCCCCAGTATCAGCACGCGTGCACACACACACACACAATTAAGACAAAACGCTGTCTGCCAGATTGGTTGAACAGGTAGGCTGCCACAGTGTATTGCGTGCAATACACTCGATAAAGGCTGAGACACGGGAGAGGCAGAAATCTATAGCGGATGTCCCGCCAGACAAACAGCCACTGGTGCAGCAATTCACAGGGGATTGGGGAAGCCATTTTCTCCTCCCAGCTGAGTTTAACTATGGCCAACAGTAATTTCCAGGGGAAAGAAGTCCCTACCAGCCAAGCCAAAGTCCTTCTACTTAGCTTTCAATGTTTGCTAAGGAAAATCTGTCAGTTGTAAACTGTCCACGCATGCCCCACATGTGGCTTAGCTCAGGACAAAACATTTGCTGTGGGAGGTACAGGCGATGCTCAAAGCCACCCTCATCAGGTCAAGAGCACCATCAAAACCTCCTGACCGGGTAAGGATAGGCCTGGCTGCGATGAGTCCCTGTGCAGGGCAGACCCTGCTTCACACCCACAGAGGCGGGCGGAGAGGCGAGTGGGAACGCCCCAGGGTGGTAACTCCGTGAGCACGCCTTCACCAGCGCCTATCTGACTCCATGCTTAATTCAACTGAAGCTCACAACAGAGCACAGTCACGTGGGAGGAGATGCCAGTGAGCACCCGACTGGCCAGAGTCTCAGGTGCTACGCAAGGCCCACCACCCAGCCCATCTCTTACCATTTCTGGGTCCTGCTGGAGCTCTTCACCAGCCTTTGACTTCTTAGGCTTGGAAGGGCCTCCGGGGCTGGAGAAGGTCTTAGGTGACTTGGCGGAAGGTGACACCAGAGGCCTTGAGGGACCAGAAGGGCCGCCCAGCCTCTGTCCCCCACCAGAGAAAGGAGTGAAGGGGACAGGTATGGGCTCCCTGGCACTCTGCTTTGCCTGAGCATCCACTGGCTTTGGGCCACCCAGAGGGCCAGTCCCTGCGGTGCCTGTGTCTCCCTGGTGACTCAGGTCGCCCTTGCTGAGCTCCCCAGAGCTCAAGGGAAGCAGAGGGCTGCTGGACGCCTGGTCCGCCGACACAGAGCAGGTCGGGCTTCCCGGCGTCTTGCTCCTGCTGGGCCCAGCCTCCTGTTTGCTTGTGGAGTCACACTGCTTCATGACAAACCTGAACGAGAGCCGGAAAGAGACAGAGACGCCAGGCTGTGACGCTTCCTCTTCCATCCTCTGAGAGCAAGCGCCACACAGCCTCTCCCTAAACCCACGCCATCTTCTCACCATGGAGAAAAGGGTGAGAAGCCAGCACTGAGCCGCTGCAGCCTAGAGCGGCCAGTGCACCGCATACACTCTGGGGCATGTTTTTGCTTTATTATTATTATTTTTTTTTGCCAGTGCTGGGGCTTGAACCTGGGCACTGTCCCTGAGCTGCTTCTGCTCACAGCTAGCACCCTACCACTAGAGCCACAGCGCCACCTCTGGCCTTTTCTGTGTATGTGGCGCTGAGGAGTGGAGCCCAGAGCTCCGCGTGTGCTAGGCAAGCACTCTCATTAAGACGCCTTCCCAGCCTGCTCCTACTTTTCAAATACCCCTCACCAACTTTTGTTTTTGTTTTTGAGATAGGGTCCTGTCGTGTACAGAGGCCGGCCTCCCAGGTGCTGGGATTACCAGTATGTGCTATCTTTTACATTTTCTTTCTTTTTTTGCAATACGAGGGTTTGAACTCAGAGACTTATGCTTGCTAGGTAGCAAGCTTGCTATCACTTGAACCACGCCTGCAGCCCTTTTAGCTTTATGTATGTTTCAGATGGGAACTTGCTCTTTTGGATGGGCTAGCCTATAGACAGGATTACAGGCATGGGCCACCAGACTCAGCTCTTTTTCTCTTGAGACATCTGAGAGTGGTACAAGCCGTCTCTACCTGAGGGTGGCGCCGCCCCCTGTGAGGCCCAAGGACTGCAGCGTTGTGCTCTGCAGGGCAGCTCCGCCAGTGACCTGCAAGGAAAGCAAAGGACCCTCAGATCCTCCTCCCGTGAGCTGGGCAACAAAGCCCCTACCAGGCATGGACTAAGGCCTTGCGGCACACGTCCTTCTTCTCCCAGGCCCCCCATCTGCCCCTGACGGTCTATGTGCTGTGACACCTGCGGTGTGTCTGGCCTGCAGCTGGGGACGAGCCACTGAACATCTGTCCTCCAACCCAGCCTGGCCGCCTCAGCAAAGGCTGGGAAGGGAAGAGCAAGCTGGGTCGGGGACACCCTACGGATAGCTGGCAGCCAAGTGGATAAGAGAAGTGGAATGGAAGTGGCGCTGTAGCTCAAGTGGTAGAGCGCTGGCCTTGAGTTGAAGAGCTGAGGGACAACACCCAGGCCCAGAGTTCAAGCCCCACGACAAAAAAAAAAAAAAAAAAACTATATAGAGAAGTGGAATGTGCACAGGGACAGGGGGGTAGAGATACACAGATTGCTTTGTGACAACACTTCCCTAGGGCAAGGTGAACAGAATGTAGACCCCACGCCCCTCACCAACACTAGCTAGTTACTCCCTATGCACCAAGCCCCAGAGCCGCTGTGGCATGCACGGCTGCTGGGCTTCCTGCAGCAGTGTGTTGCTGAGGGAGGGCCCGGGTCTCTTCCCTGCCCCTAACGGCCCCAGACTCTGCACGTCCACATCCGCCTGCCTCATGGCCTGCTAAGCTATAGGCCCAAGTCAGAATGCCCAGCCTCACAGTCCCCACTGGCCTGGCCTAGGTAAGGGCACCCTGCCAGCATCTACCTGACCACAGCCCCATCACCTCCTCTTCTACATGCAGACTCAGCTGTCTTTCAGGCTGGCGATGCCTAGAACGAAGTATCCTCCCTCTAGGTCCTCCCACGCCCGCATCAGGGTCACTCCTGACGCCCAGCCTAGATCAGAGGGTTCAGGCCTGGCTGGTCATGTCCCCTGAGTTCATGTTGGCCCTGCAAAAACTGCCTCCAGAGCTGACAGGCCCTCCTAAGGCCAGAATCCATCGTCACTAGCATAGCATGGCAGCTAGAATGCCAAGCAGGACAGATAGGCCGGGGTTCCTAAGGTCCCATGGTCCATTTCCTCCCAGGGAGGAAGCTGGCCAGCATGGCCTCCCGCTTCTCCACACAGCTCTGGTTGGAGGACCATGACTGAGGGTATGGGGAAATCTCATATACACCAGGGCCTTCCCAGAGACCCCTCAGGGACAGCACACCGCCACCGGGGCCTGGACAGGGCCCTGGGCCAGGGGAGAAACAAAAAGGGCCTGTGAGACTCAGGAAGGCACTAGAAAGGTCCCATCACTGTGGGCGGGGCCGTAGACAGACAGGGCCTCGCTTCCAGGCTCTGCCTCTGCTATGCTGTGCTCACTTTTGAAAAAGATCAAAACACGGAGCAAAGCAAATATTTACTAAAATGGAACCACTTTTGTGACTCTTGGGCTTTGAGAGAAGCTGAGAAAACAAACAGGACGCCGAGGGAGGCTGGGCGCAGCCCGGGCGGGCGGCCGTGCTCCAGCTCCAGCAGAGCCGGCTGCTCTGCTCTTTTTCCATAAAACACATCACGCTTTCAGGAGCTGCCGCTCCTGCCGGGACTTTGAAGCGGGCTGGCTGGCGCGGAGGGGACAGAGGGCAGCACCCACCTCGTCTCTCATGTACACGCACATGGGGGTCGCCTCACCAGGCTGTTGCAGACACTCCCTGGAAGGAAAGAACACATCAGAGGCCCACTGCTCGAGACAGCAGGGACCCAGAAACCCAGCCGAGGCAGCCCGCCCCAACCCTCCCAGATCCCCAAACCACCACCAGCTGAGTAGAACCTCAGTTCCTGGCCGTGGCCAGGGATTCCTCCCACCTCTTCTCTTTGAGGTTGGACCCCACGGCCAACAAGGGACAAGCCCAGCCACCACCCCCCTGCCCATACCACGCGACTCACTGCTAACGGGAATGTGTCAACTATACACGCATGCCTGTAACGTCCTAAGGGTTCCGGGGTCTGACTTCCGTCTGGAGATGCCATTGAAAGGGTCTCTGATCTCCAGGAGGACAAGCTCAGGACATAAGGGAGGACAATGTCTTCTAGAATGGCTGGAGCTTCAGATCATGACCTATGCCATGCCCTGGAGTCATGTTCCACCATTGGCACCAACTACATTCTAGCTAGATGACCTCAATCCAAATCTCCGCTCTGCTTGGCTGTGGAAAGTAGCAGTGACACCTCTCACGAGCCACAACCAGACACCATGGGATCGGCTCCTGTAGAGCCTGTCACTCACACATGAAGCAGCGATGTCAGCCTGGACAGTACTTTGGATACAGAGCACGCTGAGCTACTTGGTTGCTGGGGACACAGGACAAGGATGGAGAGCAGGAAATGGCTAGGAAGTGCCACAGACAGACGGAATGTGCTGTGGGCACCCTTCTGCGTACTCCCCCCGCTGCCAATCCTAGCACCCACCTGGTGTCACTAAGGATCCGTACCAGGGCCCCCTGTCCACTCTCCTCCACACAGGGCCATGAGCAGACCTGCAGTCCCAGGGAGCTGGACCCGCACAGACTGTCTGTCACCCACCAGACCCAGGGTGACGGGGAGCTGCCCCCTCCAAGACATGGAGCATTTCCATTGCTGATACCCAGGACAGCTGAAGGAAAGTTTATTCCTATATCTTCTAACACATCATTGTAAAATTCACCTTCAAAGTAACAAAAGGAAGCAGAGGACGTGGGCCCATGGGCAGGGTCCAGCAGAAAAGGAGGCTGAGATTCTGGCAGGCCTTGTGGCTGCCATGATCCAAAGAGAGACATAGCCAGGAGGGGGAGACACAGGACCTGAGAGGGGACTCAAAGAGCAGGGCACTTCTGGGCGCCGGTGGCTCACGCCTGTCATCCTAGCTACTCAGGAGGCTGAGATCTGAGGATCGCAGTTAAAGCCAGCCCGGGCAGGAAAGCCTGTGAGACTCTTATCTCCTATTAGCCACCAGAAAACCACAAGTGGCGCTGTGGCTCAAGCCCCATGACTGACAAAAAAAAGAAAAAAAGGTCAAAACACAGGGCACAAACACCAAGCAAAGCTGGGCCTGAAGAGGGCAGGCCTGGGAGAGAGGACAGCGTGTCCAGTTACGAGGCGTGTACGTGGCATGTTCTCAAAGGAGATCACTTTCAATCTCCACTGTGACTGTCTCCTGGTCAAATGTGCATCAGCAAAATTTCCTTCCCTTCCCTTCCTTGCTTGTGTTCTTGTGTGCTCCCCATTCCTGAGGGCTTGCTGGGCCCCGCGTGCCAGCCTGCCGTGCCTGCAGAGGCCTGCACCATCCTGGGAAGGCCCACGGGCTCAGAGGGAATGCGAAACCCACCCCTCAAAGCCAGTCTGGTGCCCCTGCGTGAAGGGCCAGTCGTCCTGCAGAAGCCTGGCCTCATGAACCAAGACACAAATGCCTGTTGGATCCATCCTCTTTTGGGGGAGGGCAAGGCGGGGAGGGGCCCTGGGGTAATTCCGGGCCTGGGCGCTGTCCCTCAAGCTCTTCAGCTCAAGACAAGTGCTGTACCACTTGAGCCACAGCACCACTTCCAGTCTTCTGGTGGTTTACTGCAATCCTCAGCTCTCAGCCTCCAGAGCAGCTAGGATTACAGGTGTGAGCCATCAGCACCCAGCTCCATCCTCTCTTAAAGAGACCTGGCCCAAAGAAATCCCTATGGCCCTTGGGCTAAGGCCAGGCTCATGAAGCTCCTCCTCCTGAAGCCACAAAAAAAAAGGAGAAAACTCAGCCCAGAAAGACAGTACCTAGGAGGGAGATGGGGCCGGAAAGGAAGACGAGGTGCTGAGGTGCTGAGTCTTCCTCTCACACATCACACATGTGAAAGCTGCATCTGTCCCTACCTCATGCTCCTTCACCTCACTGGTAAGTACTGCCTGGCAGTCCCGGGAACTGCACTAGGGCCCAGTACTTATTAAATAGGCACTCTACCACCTGAAATAGTCAACATTTTTCTTTTCTTCTTTTCTTGTTTTTTTTTTTTTTGGTCGGTCGTGGGGCTTGGGGTGCTGTCCCTCAGCTCTTCTTTTTATTTTTCTGTTTTTTT